TGTCCTAAAAATATTCTAGTGAAAACAACTTTTCTTTGTAGATCAATTATCCAGTCATGATCAACACCTTGCATAGATTCCTAGTTCTGTTGTTCCTCAATCCACAAATTATCCTAAGCTTCCTTCATTCAACTTCCCTGCTGCTAGCTATGAATCCCAAACTTACTGAGCAGCAATCAAAATATATGTGAGAACAGCTTTCCTCTACAACACCACACAAAATAAATGAGTCAGAACTCTAAGCCTTTTTTCTTTTTCTTTTTTCCTTAAACAAGGCATAAGAGCATTGAGAAAAGAAGGTAAACGCATTAGAAAGAAAAAAACTTAACAAGCACTATGTTGGTAAAAAAAAAAAAACAAGTACTATAAACTCTAAGGTTAACATGATTTCAGTTGCAGTTAAGATATAAGTAAGGAATGTCACATTAAGAGAGCAATGACAAAATAAGATAACTACTACAATAAATCATAGAGAATTAGCAAAATGAGCAAGAAAAGTCTTGATCTCAACACCTTCTATTTCAATTTCATAAGGGCTTATTCTTTTGATGAGAGACACTACAATGTTCATCCTGAAAATCTTACTTCCAACTTTTGGATGAAATTTAGTATTACTATATACACTATTTATATAAACGCCAGAGGTTCTAGAGCTTGTATCTAGAATTCAGGTAGTTTCATAGGGCAATGGAAAACTTTTCTATATTTTTCATGGAAAATGAGAAACCTTTTAATTACCACACACTCAAACTAATTAAGAGCAATAACATTAAATTAACCCTACAATGCGAGGTAAAAGCATGGATGATAGAAATAAAAAAAATACAATATTTGACTAGAAACTAAACAAGAGGATCTAATATAAAAAAGACATTAAATTAGATATAAAATTAAAATAAAACATTTTTATGTAGTTCAAGCAGAACAACTTAGTAGATAATAAAGCATAACAATGTACAGAACAAAACATACTAACAAAATAGGATCCATATGGCGTACATAACCCCATTAACCTTCAAGAGCATAACACAAATCCCCTTTTCAATGAAACAATTGGACATAGTAATGACCACAAAATAAAAGGGACAATCTCAAAACAAAGTATACAATGGAGAAGCAAATGAAGACATGATTAATCTTAACCAAAAAGCTTTAAATATTTATATTTATTCCCTTGTCTTTGATTTCTTTATATTAGTAAGCATGCAATATCATTGGAATTAATAAGCTTTGGCATTTAGTAGAAAAAAAAAAAGGGATAAACAACAGAAATTTCATTAGACAATACAACCCATTCTAAATTCGTCTATTTTCTTAAAAAAAAAGGGTTTTAAAACATGATGAGTCAACAAGGTAAATCATATTAAGAAAAATCCTAACCCAAAACATTCATAGTAGGCACGAAAATCATACTAGCTTTAGATTAGAAATGCTTATCATTATATGATTTTCTGCTTTGAGTTTAGCCAAATCATTATCAGATTAGCAAGCCAGTATGAGAAGCAACAAATTCATAGTCAAACCTTTAATTCTTGATTTTCTACTTTGCGTTTAGCCATTAACTCATTATAAAAAACAGGGACCTCCTGATTGACAGACTGCTCAGCCATGTTCTTAGCAGCCTCACTTTCATTTTTCAGCAACATGCTCGGCCACATTCTTTGCAGCCTCACGTTCCTTGATTGGCAATGCCTTTGTTTCCTGAGAGAAGAGTAAGGATATAAAGAAAGAGGATAACACCATTTTTAGCTTTCGTAGTTCTATATGTGCAACTTTTACTCTCCATGCACATTGTGGATTGATTTCCGCTTTCTTTAATTTTAGATAATGAAGGCGACCCAAGTGTCGTCAACATTGACTTTGTTACAGATATCAACTCATATGGCATCAGTAACATGAACTTGTAAATAACAATGGAAATAGTAATTAATAAGAGATACTATCAAGTAAACATTTTCCTACTTTTTTCCTTAACTTCATACTATCAATCTTCCAGCCTACTTTTTTCCTCCAAAAATCTCAGATTTGAGATCTCAAGAGGCCCCCCAAAACCCTAAAATGTTTATCTTTTAAATCCGAATCCCACACAAACCTTGGCTAGGGTACCTTCCGCTAAACTTCATCTTTGATTAAGGCTGGGCTGATCATTGGATTAAGGGGTTAAGCCATGAAAAACTTTGCCATGGCAGCGCACGGCATTCACGGTGGGGTTGGGCTAGGAGGAAGATGACCTCGATTTTTTCCCGTGCTTGAGTGAAACGACAACATATTTGAAGAGATTGGATTTATGCTTCGATCCACATATTTCGTCGACCTATCTTTTCGGTCCTCAACTTCCTTATCACAATTGGGTCCCTGCAGGATAGAACTCTCATTTAAAATTTTTCTCAATTGAGTACAAAAGGCCATTAATTCAATTTAATCCCGATTTTTCTTTAACAGATTTTCTAAGTTAATTTTCCAAATCACATTAAAGTTCAAAATTTTATTAAAACATAAGAATTTATGAGAAATTAATATTTAGAAAAATCAAGATTTCTCTTTTATATATATATATATATATATTGTAAAAATATTAAAATAAGCCAAGTAAAAATTGGGTTATGACATATACCTACGCCAAATAAAATTGTGTAGGTATAGTCCTTTTTCTACGGTTTTTTGATGTGTGTAAGTATATCTTAAATTTAAATACCCACAAATTATAAACTGTAGTTAATACCTCTCATGTATCTACGTCAAGTAAATTATGTAGGTATAGTCCACTTTTCCCTGCGGCTTGTTTATGTGTGTAAGTATGACTTAATTTATATATTCACCAATTGTAAACCGTAGCTAATGGTGATCTATACCTACAAAATATTGAACGTAGGTAGAAAAAAGTGTAGGTATATGGCAAATTTGTCATGGTGCCATGCATTCCAAATTTGCTGTAAATGTCATATCCAAAACAAATGAAGAAGAAATAAAATTACTAGTACTTCTTTTGCTAAACTCCCTATTTACACATTTACACTAGAACACAATTTTTTTTTTTTTTTTTTACAATCAACACTCTTTATAACTTTTAGTTTTAGTAAATACCTTTCATAATTTTAAACTTAAAAAAAATTAAATTATTAATAAAATTAAGGCACAAATAAAGGGTTTAACTATTAATTTTTAAATATTTAATAAATTTTAAATTATAAAAGTGTTAACTAAAAATAAAAATTTAAAGATATTA